AACCACTTATTGAAAATGCATACCATGAACCTGACAATTTGAAGCAGAGCAACCAACACCAAGACTTATTTGTTCATAACATTATTGGACATTGAAAAATTATTTGGACATCTAGGCAAAAAGAACAAATGATTTATAAGGGAAAGAAAATTAGATTATCATATTCTTTGACAGCAACACTTTATACTAGAAGAAAGTGGAATCATATATTTATGAACTCAAGCAAAGGAAACGTGAGCAAGGATTTTATATCCAGTCAAACTGATGTTGAATTATAAAGGGCACACACGCTTATCAACATGGAAGACTTCAGGGAATAGTGTTGCCATTAGCCCTTTCTGCAGAATCTGCCATAGAATGAATTTCACACAACCAAATATTAATAAGAAGAGAGACCTTGACACAACTGGTGGTGAGGATTAATCATATTATTATTTGTGATTTTACCGTATTCAGTGAGGAGTATGCCAGGTATGGCAGCATGCACCGTTAGTCCCACCTACTTGGGAGGCTGAGGCAGGAGGATTGCTTGAGCCCAGGAGCTTGAGACCAGCCTGGGCAACATAGCAAGACCCCATCTCAAAGGGTGAGAGTATGCTGTGTAATGATGATATGCTTGGGCAGTGGAGATATCGTCTATTTAAAAAATAGAAGAAAATGAATATATACAAGTTTTATTTTTTAGTTAATCTCAGTAAAGTACACTGGTGATGGTATTTTTAGTATTGTTATTTTGAGACTGTTGTATATGTAATGTGGGATAAAGTCATTGAGTAATTATGGAATATTCAAATTTCATCATTTTCTTTGTCCTTGAGAATCAGGATTCTCAATGTGGAAGAAAGAAGATAGAGATGAAATATAATAGAGGCTAATAAGAATATTCTATAGTCCTGAACATGACTTTAAACTCAAGAAGTATCAAATGTCTATATATATAGCTCTGTTCACTGAAAAGGTCTATAAACAATGATCACAACTCAGTAGCAATGGGTAGTCCTAGAATTTAGATTGTTGCTTTGAAATGTCATTTCTCACTTAAAGAAACCAGAGTCTGTGGGAGAAATGGCAGATGCCAGATCTCAGGGAGGAAATCTACAAAATGAGCCTAGAACCTCATGTTCTATTAGATAGCAAAAGTGGCCTTTGTTGTACAATGCTGCAAAGTGCAGAGATTTCTTTTCTGAAAGATTACTGGGGTCATGCCAACAGGCCTCAGGAGCCAATTTCAAGAGGGTCTCACTGACCAAAGATGGAGTAATTTGAGCTTCACAAACAATAGTAATTGCATTTGATCAAAACCCAACAAATATTTCGAATCTGTGAGTTTATAATTATATTATCAAATAAAGGCTAATGGGTTACCTTTGGAGGAATACTAGGAAATGAATTTATCATGAAAAGTGGGAAGTATAGGGAAAGAATCAAGTACCCACCTTTCCTATATGAACTGTACTAAATTGTAGATAAGGGGAAACATCTCTTTATAAAAGTATTGCCACTGATAAGTGAAAAGGAAATAATAGAATTGGAACGTCACCATTTTGCTGCCCCCAGTGAAATAATGGGTCTTAGCATTTGCTGCATCAGTCTGCTAATTTCACAAAAACAGAGACAACCAGACATGATGAGGCTTCTGTTGAAAGAACACACTACCAAATAATATGAGTCTGATTAAGCCTCTGGACTCAGCTGCCAATTTGCAAGATATACAGTCAGTTCTGTTGTAATGCGACATATGTGTTCCTAAAAAATCTCCACACTTTGGCCAGACATGGTGTCTCATGCTTGTAATCCCAGCACTTTGGGAGGCTGAAGTGGGAGGATTGCTTGAGCCCAGGAGTTCAAAACCAGCCAGGGTAACATAACGAGATCCCATCTCTTAAAAAAAAAAAATTAGCTGGGCATGGTGGCATGCACCTGCGGTCCTAGCTACTTGGTAGGTTGAGGTAGGAGGATCTCAAGCTGGAGAGGTCCAAGGCTGTAGTGAGCCATGATCATCATGATCATGGAGCCATGATGGACTCCATCCTGGGTGACAGAGTGAGACCCTGCCTCGAAAAACAAAACACAAACCAAAAAAATCTACACTTTGCAGCATTGTACAATAAAAACCACTGAGTTTATTGTGAAAATGAGGTTTAAGAAAAACTTTCTTGATAGCACTAAAAAACAGGATAGTAACCCCAAAAACCCAGCAATACAGTTTTACGTATGTTAAATGGTCACGAAACATACATACCTTGTAAAAGACCTGAAGTTCGTGAAGGTGGGCATGGGAAGAGTTGCAGCTTTTGAGCAATTTTGAAGTGGCGGAACCCTAGATATGGGTAGGAGAGGCTCAGCACAGCTCCAGAGCAGCTGGTAGATATCTGAGGTGTGTGTGTTCCTATGTGGCTCCGTGTAGCTGAATGCAGTTTTCATTTCCCTAGTGTTTCTCATGGTGGAAGAATGTAAGTGGGGGCGAAATTCATAATGCACAAGGCTTTCCCTAATGTATACATCAAGTTGAAGCAAATGTGCATTTTCAAAACAAGTATTTTAGCAGAACTGACAGGACAAAAGACAGAGCAACATGCTGGACTGTACCATGTGTGCAATCAACAGACTGCAGACTGGGAGAAATTCTCGAGGCTAAACAGCTGAGGTTCATTAGTAATAGATAAATGTAAGGAAAAGAAAGAGATGGAGGTAAGAACCTGCAGATTAAAAGAGGCTTAAAAAGCATAACCAATTTTTTTAAATGGGAAAGGCTATAGTGCTTAGGGATGCATATTTGGATGTTAAAACTATAAGGAAACATTAAGTGCATAGTTATATAAAAGTCGGGGGAATGGTTCCTTCTGGGTGAGAGAGGGGCTTGACAAGGAACTTTGGGCAGAGGCTGGCAAAGTTTCTTTTCTTGGCCTGAATAGTAGTTAAAAGGGTATTTGCCTTATAATAACTTTATACATTAGTTTTCTGTGACTTTTTGTGTCTATATTTTAATACAATGAAAAGGTTCTAGAAATATATATATATAAAAAAATATATATATTTTTTTTTTGAGATGGAGTGTCTCTCTGTCACTCATGCTGGAGTGCAATGGCATGATCTTGGCTTATTGCAACCTCCACCTCCCGGGTTCAAGTGATTCTCCTGCCTCAGCCTCCTGAGCAGCTGGGATTACAGATGCGTGCCACCATGCCCAGCTGATTTTTTTGTGTTGTTAGTAGAGATGGGGTTTCACCGTGGTGGTCAGGCTGGTCTCAAACTCCTGACCTCGTGATCTACCCACCTTGGCCTCCCAAAGTGCTGGGATTACAGGCAAGAGCCACCGCGCCCAGCCGAAAAGATATCTTTATTGAATCGATGGCCACAGTGAAAGGGAAAAGTAATAGCTACTTTCCTTCCAAATTCCTGCAGACAGCTTTATCAAATGAAAGCATGCAAGTGACACCATTCCTTTAGTCATTCATAAAATACTAAACTCCAAGGTAGGTTTCCACATGGTGCTAGGGCCTGTGGCAACAAAGACGGTATAACCGAGTTTCTACTCTGAAGGCTTGTAGTGGTTTTGTGCAGGCAGATGTTAAAACAGATCAACTACAGGTGCTGTGCCAGTTGCTGTTAGAGAGGAAGGAACTGAGTGCCGTGGGAAAAGAAAGAATAGCTGCTGGGAAAGTTGGGCGCGGAGGCACAGAGAAGCTTTGAGTTGCATCTGCAGCAACACATTGCAGATGGGGAAAGGACTCTCCTGGCCCCAATCCCTGATGAGAATCCACTGTACCTCTCCACCCCACAGCCATTATCAGAGCACCCAAATACTTTGTGCTTGGAGGCACAGCCTCAGATGGAACATAGGCCTCCTGTCCAGTAGGGGATTGATCTGTTCACTCATCTCCTCGCCTGACCCCCTAGACCCCCCTGAGTCTCTGCTGATTATCCCTCGCCCCTTCCTCAGACTGTTGTAGTATTTGGTCTCCAGATAGAGTGTTTGCTGTCCTCACTGTGCCCATGGAGTCCCAGTGCGTTCAGTGAAGTGTTTATTATTCGGTTGGTCTGGTAGCATAAAATTATAAAAAATCCAGGAAGCAATCAAGTGGGAAGGAGAGATGTTCCAGAAGGAAAGATGAGTAACTGTGAAAGTGAGAGCACGGCTAGTCCTCAGAACAGCTAAGGCATGGGTCTGTCTCCCTCATCCCTTCACCTGCCCGGGAATGTGAAGGCAGCAGCCAGCCAGTCCTTCCTCCACATTTCTCTCATGGGGTCCTATTTCCATGAGATGCAGAATTAAAACCGGGGCTGCGAAAAACTGCAACCACAAAATTCACTTTTATTAAGCTTAACACAAAAATAATGCAATAAATAATGTATCATTTAATTAGATTATTATTTTATAAACGAGTTAATTTTTTTTTAACCTAGGGAAAGTCTGTTTTGCTTTGTTTTGAATCACAACTTTTAAAGTCCTAAATAAATAGGCTCCTTCTACTCAGGCAAGTTTCAGCTATTGGTTTCTGTGTAGGTTGTTCCCACTCATACTTTATCCCTGGCAGAAACACTCAGGAGAAAATAGGCTTGAATCAAACCTATCTACTGACCAGTGGCCTCACTCCTCACCAAACAAAGAGGACAAAAATTCCTCTATGGGGGCTTTCACTCTATTTAAACCTGAAGAGGCTCAGCCGCCTTCAGCAGTGCTGTTTACTGCCAAAGGGTGCATTTTGTTATCATGGAAGTATAAAGCAACTTAATGTTTTAAGTGTTAAATAAAATGTACCAAAAATTTACTATTAGAAAAAAAATCAGGGAACTTTACATTAGTAAATAATTTTTTTTTAAAAAAAATTATAGCTAGCCAGGTGTGGTAGCACACACCTGTAGTCCCAGCTACTCAGGAGGTTGAGACAGGAGCCCTTGAGCCCAGGAGTTCAAGACCAGTCTGGACAACTAGCACAATGCCTTCTCTAAAAAAATTAAATTTGATTTAAATTAAAATTATAGCTCTTGAATTTTAGAGCTTTATGGAAGCTTGAAGAGAAGTGAAAAGAGGCAGAAGGAAAGCAGAGGGGTTGGGAAGATCGAGAAATACTGAGGTGAGCAGACGGTTAAAGAGTTGAGTCGGAGAGACGCGGCAGAACAAAAGAACATGTAAATTACTCTTGTAATACTTTATGTCTGCAAAGCTAGTTAGAGTTAATGGTTCTTTCTTACACATCATTTTATTTGATGCATACAAGATCATGCCAAGTAGGCCAGTTATGGCATGACCACTGAGTGGTTTCCGTAGGCCCTGGCATTACTGCCTGACTGGAAGTAGCATAGCCTCAAGTTCTTAAGATTCACATACACATTCTGGACTTAGAGAATCCACACATAGTCATTTAGTTTTCACACTTTTTTTCAGGTCCATACATTTTTAAGTTTCTAAGTCAGCGACTACCTGCACCTTTTAAAAATATAATTTATTCTGTCCCTTTATAGCAATGCTTCTCAAATTGTCTCTAAGGATTTCCATGCTCTCCTAAATAAATGTGTTCAGGAGATGAGAGGGCTCTAGGCATTTTTTTTTTTTCTTTTTTTTTTTTTTTTTGAGACTGAGTCTCTCTCTGTCACCCAGACTGGAGTGCATTGGCGCAATCTCAGCTCACTGCAACCTCCACCTCCTGGGTTCAAGCGATTCTTGTGCCTCAGCCTCCTAAGTGTCTGGGATTACAGGCATGCACCACCATGCCCAGCTAATTTTTGTGTTTTTAGTAGAGACGGGGTTTTGCCATGTTGGCCAGACTGGTCTCGAACACCTGGCCTCAAGCGATCCACCCACCTTGGCCTCCCAAAGTGCTGGGGTTACAGGTGTGAGGCACTGTGCCTGGCTGCTCTAGGCACTTTTTGAACTGTTTTATACATGGGCTTTCACATAGGTACCAATTTTTTTGATAGGTATTATGATTAACTGCTTTAACATTTCCCACAATCACAAAATTTTTGATAAAAATGTTACAACTCTATCAATTTTCTTCCCAATTTTTACAGAATTTAAGAAAAATAAATCAGAATATGTAGAAGCAATGACAAATACCATTCTGTTAAAACTCTCTGAATCTTTGCTGTGGGCAGATTTCCATTTCATGCAATTTTCTGTGAAATTAATGAGCTTTTTTCTTTATTTCACTGAAATGAATAAGGAGCATCAGCGTAATTATATAGACTTATTTGTTCAAAAATGCCTCATTAGCATTTCATAAGGTTTCAGGGGTCTTTATTCAGTTTGCAACTTAACAGGCTGAAAGAAACTACCCCAGGTATGGCTTAATCACTTAGTTTGCTTAGTTTTGAAACTTAAAATAGTAACAGCAATTGTAGTTTAATAAAATCTTATAGACAGTTAATATTCATATTTCTCAGTTATTCTCAGAAATTTATGAGTTATTGAAGGAAAATTTTCACTGAATTTCTCATCCGTTATTTCATTCTGTGTATTTGAACTTGGAGGCAAAGCTGGGAATGGTACGTCTTCAAATTGGTTGCCTGATAATCACCATACAACTCCTTTTACTTCAAAATCTTACGCTAAAATAGCTATTGCTTTCCACAAAATCTTGGTCGATCCAAACAAGGTTTCAGATTAAAATTTATTTGAAGATTACTAAAAATAAACATAATTAATTTCCTTTCATCATCAACATTTTAAAACTACATGGAATGGGAAAGTACATGGAATGGAAATCTGCCCAAACATTTAGGGCCACACTTATGCCAATCAATGTGCTAGGAAGCCTGGAGCCAAAGCCACGAGGAGACACAGTTCCTGCCTTCACCTACTAGAGAAGAAACGTCATGTAAACCAATAATTACATAGAGTGTTAAAAGGACTGTCCAAGAACTATGTGTAAGATGCTTGGGGTTCAGGGGAAAGGTCAGATCCACGGAAGACTTCTCAGAGGTGGTGTTTTTAATGAGCATGGTGGTAGTTTGAAAGAAATACCAAAACAGCACGAGAAAGTTTGCTGACCTTTATTCTTGATTAGAATACTGTATATATTTCCTTGTACATTATTAATTTTCTTAGCACACTTGTTTATGGTAAAGACAAACTAAAACTGAATGCTCCAATAGTTCTAATGAGGTTTTACAGTTTATTTTTTTTAACAGCCCCTTTGAATGTTTGAAAGTAATTTGAAATAAATAGAGTATTTACAATTTGGAATCCATTGATAAATATGATTGAGAGTGTTACCAAGGGTTCTATTTGTTCCTTATATGTTACAATAAATTGAGATAATAGAAATGTGCTAATGACCTACTGATTATTGTTTTTCCCAGATGAAAACTTTTCAGTTCCTCATAATAAAAGAGGAGTACTTGGAATGGCCAACAAAGGCCGTCACAGCAACGGGTCACAATTCTATATCACACTGCAAGCAACTCCTTATCTAGATAGAAAATTTGTGGCTTTTGGGTATGTATATTGTAGATCTGTCTATATAATATTCACACCTGTAAAAATGTCATTTAAAAATATTTGGATAAGTATTGTATATAGTGTATAGGTAGCTAAAAATAGGGCTTAAATGCAAAAATAATACAAATAGAGACAAAAGTATTTAAGAAATATTTTGCAAAGAAGTTTGCTATCTATAAAAACACAGAAAATGGCCAGACACAGTGGCTCAGGCTTGTAATCACAGCATTTTTGGAGGTTGAGGTCGGGAATTGCTTGAGCCCAGTTCAAGACCAGCCTGGGCAACACAGTGAGACCCCATCTCTACAAAAAAATTAAAAATTAGCTGGGCGGGCATGGTGGCTCATGCCTGTTATCTCAGCACTTTGGCAGACCAAGGCAGGTGAAATACTTAAGGCCAGGAGTTCCAGAGCAGCCTGCCCAACATGGTAAAACCCCGTCTCTGCTAAAAATACAAAAATTAGTTAAGCATGGTAGTGTGTGCCTGTAATCCCAGCTACTCCAGAGGCTGAGGCAGGAGAATCACATGAACATGGGAGGTGGTTGCAGTGAGCCAAGATCATGCCAGTGCACTCCAGCCTAGGTGACAGAGCAAGACTCTGTCTCAAAAATAAATAAATAGGCCGGGTGCAGTGGCTCACACCTATAATCCCAGCATTTTGGGAGGCTGAGCCAGGCAGATCACTCGAGGCCAGGAGTTCGAGACCAGCCTGGCCAATATGGCAAAACCCCGTCTCTACTAAAAATACAAAAATTTAGCCAGGCCTGGTGGCGTGCACCTGTAGTCCCAGCTACTTGGGAGGCTGAGGCAGGATAATTGCTCGAACCCGGGAGACAGAGGTTGCAAATGACAGAGGTTGCAATGAGTGCACTGCACTCCATCCTGGGCGACAGAGCAAGATCTGTCTCAAAAAATAAATAAATAAATAAAATAATAAATAAATAAAATTAGCTGGGTGTGGTGGTATGTGCCTGTAGTCCCAGCTACTGACGAAGTTTAGGTGGGAGGATTGCTTGAGCCTGGGAGCCATGATTGTACCACTGTACTCCAGCCTGGGCAACAGAATGAGACCCTACGTCAAAAAAAATATATAAGACAAAATAAAAAAATAAAAACAGAAACCATTTAGGCATAGTCATAATAATGTTCTTTCTGTGTCTCTATCCACCTATCAGTCTTCAGCCTTAAGGATATTATCAATTCTTTATTACTATGAATCATACCACAGTGCTTAATAATATAGATATACTAATATGTAGAAGTGAAGAGGTGAAGTCATTTAATTAATTGTCCATGTACATCATGAAGAGGTAGATGAAAACTAGTCAAGTTACATGTAACTATTTTTACTGAACGATTTTAAATATGGAAACATCACAGGTAATAGTTATTATTAGAATATTGTTAGCAAGATGCTTAAAGGCATGTGGACCTAAAATGGATGATGGAAATACTTTTCATCACGCCAGTGTTTCATATCTCTCTTTAGTTACTGAATGAATATGAGGCAGGGCTTACTTCGTCTTCCCTGAGATAGTGTAAAGTGTTTGGATTTTTCTGAATAACTGTTAGATTTGTTCCACCCACTCCATAGGGATAATTACTGACGCTCCAGCACCTGGAATTTCATGCCAGTGTTCATTTTAACTACAATAATTCCTTTCATGTAATGCTTTCTGTGATACTTCCAGGTTGAAAAAATAGAAAGTGTATTTTCATCCATAGGATATCTTTAAAGAGATAACATTACATTAATAGATGCATAACATAAAATAATGACTTAAGTTTTCCCTGGTCCCAAATAAATTGGATTCTGAGTTTGAAAATGCATTATTAAATTAATTTTAAGGCCAGACGCAGTGGCTCACACCTGTAATCCCAGCACTTTGGGAGGCCAAGGTGGGCAGATCATGAGGCCAGGAGTTCGAGACCAGCCTGGCCAACATGGTGAAACCCCGTCTCTCCTAAAAATACAAAAATTAGCTGGGCATAGAGGCACACACCTGTAGTCCCAGCTACTCAGGAGGCTGAGGCAGGAGAATTGCTTGAATTGCTTGAACCCGGCAGGTGGAGGTTGTAGTGAGCCGAGATTGCACCACTGCACTCCAGTCTGACAACAGAGTAAGACTCCGTTTCAAAAAAAAAAAAATAGTTTTAAATCCAGATAACATTTCTTGGATCATTTAAATCCAAATAACATTTCTTGGATCATTTAAATCTCTGTCATATTGCTGACAGTCTCTATCCTCTACCAACTTCCTGGTGATCCTTTATATCTCAGCTAAAGGTACCTTTTCAAACACAAACATGACTGCTTTAAAACTTTTAGTGCCTCCATTACCATCTTCACATCTGCACAGCCTGAAGTCTAGAGTGGCATTCCAGGTCCTCCACTCTCTGGCCCCACATCCTTTGTTCAGCCTTCACTTCTGCTGTTTTCTCAACTCATTCAAACAGAATTTTGTTAGGCACCTGCAGTATGCCATTCACGGTACTCAGTGCTGGGGAAAAAGAGTGACAGTGTACAATCCCTGCTCTTCAGGGAGCTTACAGTATGTTATGAAAAATAAGTCAAATAGCCAATAGCTATGTGACAGTGAAACATGGGCTATGCAAACCATGTAAAGGGTGCATTGGGAGACGGGTAAGAAAACACCCTCCAACTCCAACTCCTTTCACCAAAGTGAACACAGAGCCTTACAGGGTGGCAATGGAGTGGAGAGCACTCGATCTCCTTTTGATGGTTCCTGTTCTCTATGATCCACCTTCCTCTTGGGGAAATCTCTAATTTTTATCATCGTCACTCTAGCCTCAGGGAGGCACTGCCCTCCTTCTATTCTGCTATTCTGCCTCAAGTAGGATCTCAGTGTATTCCTTAAATCTCCAAAATTTAAAAAAAAAAAAAAAAAAGTCTGCAAATCACAGTGGAGGCTGGGCTGGAATATTTAAACAAGACCTTACAGAACGCTGAGGGAGAAGCAGAAAGGTAAAACATAATAGGCAACTAGATAATCTATTTAAACTAATGAAATAGAGCTCCTTCAGGGATACCTTCCTTCCCAGTTGTAGAGCTGCCTCTTCCCTATCATCTCTCAGTATCCCCAGGTATGTCTGAGCTTTTGGAAGCCCAGACATGGTTAGCAAGGTCCAGAGAGATCTCATCCAAGACAGGCACATGATCCCTCAGATGGATGATACTGGGAATGTCCTTCAGGAACGACGGTAGCAATCCACAGAGCATGGCTGGCCCAGTGGGCTCGTAGGGAAAGAATATCACAAAACAAGCCTGTAAGCTCTCCATTCACATGCACCCATGGTAGAGGGGGGTTAGTTGGAGGGGGAATTATTTCATTTTAAGAGACTTGTAAGGTGGGAGGGGGTCATGGAAAGTGTCATGAGAAGGTGAGTTGAGGAGTGAAAAGTCACGTAGAAGTTAGCCAGATAGAGAAGCTAGAAATTACAATGAGTCAAATCAATTTTAGGAAAATTGAAGAGCTTTTGCAGAGAGGCCCTGAGGAGTAAGAGAGCATCTTATCTACAAGTCATCTGGTCTGGGCAGAGCTTAGTGCCTAGGGGAGAATGGAGAGGGTGGAGGCTAGATAAGAGGTCAGCTGGCCAGGAGCGGTGGCTCAAGCCTGTAATCCCAGCACTTTGGGAGGCCGAGACGGGCGGATCACGAGGTCAGGAGATCGAGACCAT